AAATAATGCCCAGAGGAGTTGATAGGGTAGACTAGGATAATTTATTCCATAGTGGAATGAAAAGTCTCATAGTCAACGAACCACCAGATTACTTGTGGAGTTCTTAAAGAGTCAGGTCGTCTAAATGTTGAATGAAATAAGACAAACAATCGTAGAAAGACACCATACACGGATCCAAATTAAGATTCGACAGTATCCTAAGGTTTCAGAAATTCAGACATTATAGTCAGCTGAGCATTGAAAGGTGGAGCCCAGAGCTGAAGCTCAACCCACGCAAGTAGGGCCCAGCACACCCGACTCGGGTTTAACCCAGGGTCCACACTGCTAGGAAACCAAGGATAAAGGCTGGTTAAACCCACTGCTACATCCGTGGTAGGAATATAGCAACTTCTCTCTTCCACTGCCACATCTGTGGTAACAATATCGTACATGTCGTCAGAGGTAGCAAAGAGCTTACGAAGAACGCAGCTTAAAGTAACTTCGCAGAGCTTGAAGATAGTGAATACAAGCATTCGTACCATCTCACGCACTAGCCGACCGCTGTCAATCCAAGCAGGATAATCGACCGACAGGTTGTCGAGCATGATATCCCACCTGCACGTCACCGAGCATGATATCCCCCTACACGTCACCAAGCATGATATCCTCCCTACACGTCATAAAGCATGATAACCACCAACTTGTCCTCCCCCTCCCCTATCAGAAAAGTGGTATCGGACCTTTTTTCTCCTTCCAATTATTCATCTGTGTATCGTATGTGACATATATAATCCTTTTACGTCATAATGTTATGGCATGAGGAACCTATGTAACTTATCTCTTCTCGTGTTCCAACCTAAGTTGCCCAGGAGTCGCAGTTTACAACTTAGAGGGGAGAGAGTCGCTTGTATTTTTTGTGTGCGATTGTTTGTGAAGTTATTGGGCACGATTTTAATGAACTTTGGGGGCTAGTGTGTGTGTGTGTGTGTATGTGTGTGTGTGTGTGTGTGTGTGTGTGTGTGTGTGTGTGTGTGTGTGTGTGTGTGTGTGTGTGTGTGTGTGTGTGTGTGTGTGTGTGTGTGTATGTGTGTGTGTGTGTGTATGTGTGTGTGTGTGTGTGTATGTGTGTGTAGTCCGCCCACCCATGGAGCGGTCGACCCCAAAGACACATTTATCAAATTTAACATAATCTGTTTTTTCTCAAATATAAATTAATATTAATATATATTACAGTTTCTTGTACAGTTAGGCCGAGGTTAGGTTAGGCTACTTAGGTTCTTTTTGACAATTATCTGTATTTTCAGTACATGGGTAGAGCATTTAGAGAGAGAGTGAGAGGCGATTCGAACACAGGAAGAAAGCGATGCAGTGTTCGAGAAAAGTTCGAACATTATCAGATGTGAGCCGTGTGCAAAGCCTTTTTCAGCAGGGGATTTAACAGCTAAATTAACGAGTCTTTGGTCTTTATTTATGAGAACGGTCTAGAGTGAGTGAGAAAGTGATTTGAACTTTGCCAAGCCTTCAGAAGCTAGTTCCCAATATAGGTAAATAAAACCACCAATAGCACAGAAGTATATATATATATATATATATATATATATATATATATATATATATATATATATATATATATATATATATATATATAACCAATACTGACCACTCTCTGTGCCCAGTGAATTTCCCCCTTACTCTTGCACTGCCTGCCTCTTTTACGTATCATAACTCTATTAGATAGTAACTCTCTTAGATAATTACTCTGTTAGATAATAACTTCTGTATAATAACTATGTAAGTGGTTAGACCTGTCATACACAATGATGCTTAAACCCTCATTCACCTCATGTTTAACGATAGGATTCATAGGACCTCATCACACCAAAGGTCCTATTAAATGATAGTGTTAGGCAAAGAGGGGAGGGATATTCCCTTATTTCTTAACCCTTATTTCAATTATTTTGTTCATTTGCTCTTTTCTCCCCCCATTTTATTGTAGAGCATGACCCATTTTACTATAGAGGTGACCCCTAGTAAAGGTAGATTCCCTCAACCCAGTCACCCCAATAGAGGTAGATTTCCTCACCGCGGTGACCCCTAGTAGAGGTAGATTCCCTCTCACCCCAGTCAGAGTAGTAATGGTAGATTAAACACTTATCTCTTCATCCTGTCCTCCCACTTATTGAACCGCAGTTTGGACGCTCCACTGCGTCAAAATTCAGGTGCTTTTGTGAAATTAAAAGCACTATGATATTGACGCTTTTTGGATAAATGAGCTTCAGTGAGTTAGGTGAGGTTATGGGTAGTTTTATACGCCTCTGAATGGGCAAAATCTGACAATATTTGACATATTTGACAAAATATGACAATGGGCAATATTTGACGCTTGCCACAGCGTGAGATTTGACCGTGCGTTGCAGGGAAATTATTGCAATTCATATATCGACGTCTGTTGTACATCCTCCGTGGATGTACGTGGAGAGGGGGCATCTGCTGCATGGGTAACAGCTTCTCTTCCACAGCTACCTACCCAGGCTTTGCGCCCTGTCAGAGCGCAATTCCATAGTCTTAGACTGAAGGATGTTATGCTGTACATCCTCCGCGCGCCCTCCGTTGTTCCTTCTGTTGCATATACCACACTTTTATATCCGTTGTAACCCTTTTATTTGGTACATTTCCTGTGCCGTTTTTGTATAACTATTGTGGCCCTCTGTTGTACATTTGTTATGCTCCTGTTGGACTATTCTGTTGTTCTACTCCTGTTGCATACTTGTCCATCTGTTTGTACACCAGTTGTACCCCCCCTTCCCCTCTTCCCGTTGTGCCTGTTATTCTCCTGTTGACTCCCACCTTCACAATTTCCCCCCCCCCCCTTTCCACAAAGAAAAAAATCAACTCTCGCTATCATCGCTTGGCCTTTTTTGGGTCTTTTGCTTTTATATATTAACATATGTATCTAACATACTTTTGTATCTAACATCTTTATGTATCCGGTCTTGTATACAGCTTTCTTGATGTTATCTTGAGATGATTTCGGGGCTTAGCGTCCCCGCGGCCCGGTCCTCGACCAGGCCTCGGCCTAGCTACCCTAGACTATATGAAGAGGCTACATAGTCTGGGCCAAGAGCTAGAGCTTGCATGATGATTAAGCCATTCAGGCACCGGTAGTCTACACTGGCACTCCCAAACTCTACTCGGGTTTACGGAGAGTTTCCGGTATTCTTCTTTTGTTCTCAAACGAAACTCTGTTTAGTGGTATTCCGGTTTACCAATACCGCTCCGAATATTCCTGTGTTTAGCCTTACAGTTTACAACCACGCTGGTTATGGTGTATACCTGGTGTATAACTGTGTATGGTGTATAACTCTGTATGCTGGAGTGAGGTCATATGTATCTCCTACACCAATGTATAGTTTTAGGAAATATATTCATGCATTTGTTTATGTATATGCATTTATGTATACTATTGCATGTGTGTGTGTGGGGGGGGGGGGCTCTGATGGACCTAAATAATGCGTTTGTTAATCTCTCGTGTGTTGAAGTTGTTGTTGTTGTTTTAGATTTAGCTACTCAGAACGAAATATCCATGTAGCACGGGCTATGGTGAGCCCGTAACGTTAAAGTTGATCTCTCGTTTATTCTAAGCTGGGTGAGGTGTTGTTTAGGCCTATGAGGTGTTCTCAGGTAGGAACAATGACCGCTGAGAGAGAAGAGAGAGGGAGGGAGAGAGTTATCAAGGGGAAACCGACAAGCCATTACGACTATATAACACTTGTAAGGGGTCAGGATCTAGGGATAGGATTATCTACATACGTATATGTGTGTATGACGTATTACAACAAAGGTACCAAGGGAGATATGTGCATATACGTATCACATATCCTCATTACATACCACACGGAGGAAGAAGGAAAATTATTACCAAGTTTCAGTGTAAATTTTCCTAGATGAGTATAGGTGGAAAATCCGCGATGGTAAAATGAAAGCGGAAATATCTGAGCGGTTTCGTAGCACGAGTGTGGATTTACTGATTGGAAAAAAACGACCGTTTGCACAATAATCTTGGTGTGTCAAGATGAGGATTGTAAAGTTCACAATTGTTATCAGCTATACACAATCGACTTGAGAATGGTCCTGTTAGGACCGAAACGTCGTCGTCCCTTCACCTTCTAGTGTCGATGAGTCACAATAACGTGGCTAAAGTATGTTGACCAGACCACACACTAGAAGGTGAAGGGACGACGACGTTTCGGTCCGTCCTGGACCATTCTCAAGTTGAAACGTCGTCGTCCCTTCACCTTCTAGTGTGTTATCTAGTCCACTTCCCAATTGTTGTTCTGGATTGTGTTCTCAACCTTATTTCCGCTCTGAACGTTTTTCTAGTGTTATTAAACGTTTTCTTCATATCATGTTGATCCATAATAACATAATATAGAAAACGAAGGGAAAAAGATATGTCAACAAATATAATTCAAAATAGGAAAGTAAATGAATTTCTAAAACAGATTAAAAATGATGGAAATGAGAGTTTGATCGAAGATGGTGATGTCATATACCTGTCATATGACTGGTAGATGATAGTAGATGAGTGATTTCATCTACCTCCCAAGCCTCAACTAACACAAGCCTCAACTATCAATTATAAAATAAAAAACCCATACAAGCCAAATTAATAATAAATTATTGACAAATAAAGAAACACCAGTAAGATAGTTGTCATACGTCACGTGACAAACAAATAGTATGCGTGAATAAAAATAATAAAATGAATGTGTATGTATAAATAGTATGCATATTTTCCAAAAAAAACAAACGGGATAATTTCTACCAAATTAACAGCCATACATCTAAAAACTATAGAAAAATACAATACAAAAGTTACCAAAATCCCATAAAAGAAATAAATAATATAAAAAAAAATTATTTATTGTCACCACCGCACTTATTCCCTCCAGAGTAGTAAAATTCCCCACGCGACATCTGGGAAGGTTATAAATACAGCGTGCTTGTGGCGGCTCAGTCAGGCAGGGCGGCGCGCTCGTCCGGTCAAGTTGTCGTGCGGTTTACTGCCTTTACTTTCTCAGTCCTTGTGTTTTGATGCTGGGAGATTAGTGTCATTGGACGATTGTTGATGTGATTTTGTTTTCAGTTTTGTTTCCGGCTTCATATTTCTGTGTATATATATATATATATATATAACTGCGTCTTGAGTGCGATTCGTCAGTCATGGAGGACAAGCATCAGGTATGGTATGAGGGTTATATATAATGCCTTGTTTTCTGTGTTGAGGCTTTCTGCCTTATCCACCTCCTTTCTCTCTCTTTCTCTATATTTTTTTCTCTCCCTGAAAGTTTTTATTAATTTTGCCCCGAGGGGCGAGCTTATTGGGCAGCGCCACTCATCCTGTGATTGAACATACTGTCATAGCATCATGTACACCACTCTAAATAGGAATAAAACCCGCTGGGTTGTTCATCCTGTCACTTGTACCCAGAAACAGCTGGGGCTTGCTTAACTGTCTCAAGTAAAAAGCTTATCAAACGAGATGATTAACATTTACCATCCCATAGAGATATGTTATCTTGCGGGTGCAAAGTGGGGGAAATCTTTTAAGAACAGTATCTATATTTAACAAATAGTATTTTCTTAACTCAAACAATGTGAGGTTTATTATGCTACACACACATTTCTAATGTTTTAGATGTGCACATTCTCTTGGGCAGTGGTCAAGGCGGTGTCCGTCACTCTCATCACAGATTCTGCAACTCTGCTGCTCAGCTGTTGTTTCCATGCCTAATCTCCATGGGTATTTGTATCCAAGACGAATTCTTGCTATTACCGATTCTCTCCCGCAGCCACTTCCCCTTCGTCCATAATGATCCAGCTTCAACAATATTGCACCAGCGAACAGAATCACTGATTTGTTTTATCTTCCTTTCCTTGATTACCTTGTCACGATGATGTACCTCTAACTTGTAGGTGAGTCTTGGGGGTGTGAAGTATTCAATATGGTCTCCTTCAGCGCCCTCAGCAGCCAGCACGTCTGCTCGTTCATTTGCACACGTTCCAACGATGGGAACCACATGAAGTTGATGACTCTTCCCTGATTGGTTAGTACTCTCACAGCTCTCTTGATTTCAGTGACTATTCCTTGGGTTTCTGCCTGTTTTTTGCCTAAGGCTTTGTAGTGCCTCGGTTAAATCAGTGCATATCATTACACCTTTAGTGTTTATCTCAAGGAATCTTAGTGCCATTACAATGGTAGTACTGCCGACCATGCAGACCAAAATGTCTCCCGTAGTGAGGCGTTATATGCTCTAACAACCCGGGTCTTGTGGTCCTTTTGGTCCACAGAACTCTCAACCTCCAATGGCTTGACTCTTCGTGTTAAGAGTCCAGCCGATTGTGTAAACATTGCCAAGAGATTAGACCAGTAATTTGTTCTTTGAATTGCCAGTAATCTCTTTAAGGAGATAAGACAAATTGCTTGTAAGTCAGCTAATCTCGGTCTGTTGCTCTTACTCTTACTGCCTCATGTCAGTAATCGACAATCATGTCCATTGTCTCAAGCCGAGACAATCGACTTGAGAATGGTCTAGGACGGACCGAAACATCGTCGTCCCTTCACCTTCTAGTGTGTGGTCTGGTCAACTTGCTGCCTCATCCTTTATTATCTATTAGTCCCTCTTTTTCATTGTAATACATATTGTTCTAATTTCGTTCTTCATCTTCCCTCACACACTGTATCCGTCTCACTGTAATGAAAGTTGGATTGAAATTTGTTGCATTATGCAAGTGTCCAATGCAGGTCATATGGGTCGTCTCGAAGCATGAATACGACGCACACTGTACTAACAACATTATCTTCCTTGAAAGTTCAAGTTCTGCTCTATTACAACCCATTTAGAGCAACGTAACTGCATCCGAAAGGATATATCACTCTCCTTTTGTGTATGGTTCTACCAGAACATGGCAAATAAAGTTGTATTCTCCACCAGGTCGAATCCCCAGCAGAGACCCTTCGTGCCCTGGCCCATGAACATGGCATCGACATCCTCAGTCCAGAGTTCGCAACTCTGCTGGACTCCCTGGACCCTCTGCGAGGCTTCAGAGACCGGTGAGTCAAATCAGTGTAGTGCAGCCGAAGGTCACACTCATCTCCCACAGCAAAATTCCTCGGGCTGTGCTGGTGCCAGCTGCAGCCGTTCCCAAAGGCACGTTTTCGATATTTTCTGTGTTGTATAATGCAGTATTTTCTCCAATATACGTTTAGATTTTGACCAGGAAGGGTTAGGCAAAGGCGAGTTAAGAATTTGTTTTTTTTTGGCAAATATTTGAGCTTTGTACATGGATGAGGGATTTACACACGTGCGATTCGAATTTAGGACTCCAGTGGAACACTGTTCGAGAAATATTCGAACGCAAGGAATTGCGAGTCATGTGTAAACAACCCGTCCTCCAAACGAAGACCCAAAAGTGATTCCATGCACCCGCCAACCCCCCCTGTTTATGAATGGAAAATGATTTACACACGACTCACAACTGTTGACGTTCGAAGAGTTCCGTTCGGACGTTAACTACAAGTTAATAATCTTTCCGTAGGTTTGCTTATCCGAAGAAGGGCACACTGAATAAGGTGGAACCAGAGCTGGTGGACCCGACGGAGGACTGCGTGTACCTCTGCGGCAACTCCCTGGGCCTCAAGCCTCACAAAGCAGACTGTTATATGCAGCAGCAGCTCGACAAGTGGGCCAGGACGTGAGTGTAAACACATTTTAAAAAGATGTTTTATTTTACATATATTTCGCGGGAGTAGGAATTGTTTGTGGATTTTTTTTTCCGGAGTGTATTATTGCATTCTTTATGAAGTATTCTCCGCTTGTTGGTGTATATTTACGGGGTCATGTCTAGGACTGAAGTATACTTGTTGGTTGATCAGCAACCAGTAACATGGCCTTAATAGCCCTCGTGAGGTTAATAGGCATTATATCCAACAACGAGCCAACTTATCTTTATTTCACGAAGTGTATATATGCATCTTTCACAAGTTCGTTCGTATTTATCAACCAACGTTGTTGCAGAAGGCATATACCTTCAGTTACCAGTCGTCGTCGTTGCTGAAGACGACATTAAGGGTTGCCTTGACTCTTACCTCAGCAATCACCTTTGTAGAAGGCATATAGTTTCTTCCCTTAAGGTTACTTCAGTTACCCCTCCTTCCTCCACTCTCTCTTTCTGTGTGTGTGTGTGTGTGTGTGTGTGTGTGTCTTTGTATGCATGTGGTGAATGGACAAAATATATGAATGGCTGTAAAGTCATTTCAAGGGACAGTGAATGAGCGAGTAAACTCCAGTCTCTCTAAATAAATGGTTGAAGTAAACTCAGCGTTATATACTGTATTTTTGTAAAGTATCCTCAATACATACCGTAATATGTTTAACATCTGCGGAGAAGTAGATCTCTGGAAGCAACTTTCATGTGATTGAAATGACTTACTCGTGATCTTAAAGTCATTTAAGGAAAACTTCCTTCCCTTCCTTCAAGTCACTGGAGGAAGTTTCAAGTTTCTGGCATACATTTTTTGTTTCCAATAAGACGAAGCAAGACCGTATATACTCGTGTGATATCATGGTAGATGTTGGTGGTGTCATGGTCGCTATCGGCGGCATCATGGTCGCTTTGTTGGTGCTATCCTGGTCGCTTCTAAAAAAAGTATGATCTTGGACGATTGCCTCCTCAAGGTGGAGCTCCCCACTGTTTCCGTTTCCTATGGGGATTCCTCAAGGATAAGTTGCGAAAGAGCATTACAAAAAAGCCACACTGGCTGGATTAAAATATCCATAGACGTCTGCAAAGAATATTTGATGTTGAGGAATCACATACAGACAATATTTTGACTACTTTTTAAAATAGGTTTTAAGTCTCGTGTCGTCATTTATGAAAAATCTGAAAATAGATTACACTGAGTTGTCCCCCTTTCCTCCACGTGGACGGGGACAGGAAGCCTGTATGTAGGGTTATCTATTGGTCCCTCCCTAGGCCAGGGTGTGTGTGGCCTTTCGTCAACCTTCGGCCGCCTTGAGCCCTCTCTTCACCCTGAGCACCAAACAAGTACAGTTTATGTTAAAAATACTGCATAGATATATTGGCAAATTTCTTTGTGGTGTTCATTCAAAGGGAGGTGATTGACGATCCCATAGAGTAGATGATTGTAGGTCCCGTGGAATAGATGATTGCAAGTCCCGTAAAGTTGATGCTTGCAGGTCCCATAGAGTAGGATATTTGGAAATGTCAGTCCAGTCGAGTAATTCATGGGACTAAATACACCACAGGATGTGTGATAACCGTCCACTCAAGGAGACGGTAAATCCATTACTGCATTTTCGACTCTAATTGATGAAAGCACAGATGGAATTGATGCAAGTTGTGCAACTTTGCACATTTGTATACTTTGTGTTGATCTAAGTACGCAGGTAACAAGAGAGTTGATCTAACTGATATAAATAAAAAGGAGAACAGCAGGTGATGAATTCCTTATAAGTTGTAAATAGCAACGCTTGGCAAGTTGGGCACTTGGTGGACCAAAGTTGTTAGTCTGGTTACAGTGACGCACCACACATGGAAGCTAAGTTGACGTGGCTTCTAAACCAAAGCTAAAACAAAAACAAAAATACAGCTATTAGCTCTAAACCCCAACCGTAAATTTCGTTAGTTTTCATTGAAATGTTCGTCGAAAAATGTAGTAAAATATTGCAAAATGGATAAAGTCTTTAGGAGTCATAAAGACTGTGAGGTTTACACGAATCTAAAGTCTTAACCACAGACAACTCAACAGATTTTATTGGGTCAGATTCCTCACAGACTTGTATATCGCGTTGGTGTTTGAGAGTACAGACAGTAAGCTGTACTCTAATACTGTAATGAATCGTATCGTAAAACGCAGATTTTCTTGTAACGGGAAGGAAAGGATACACATTAACTGAAAGATAAATGAATGGATTCGAGATCCAGCATTCATGATGACGATCACAGAACCCACAAATTTTCTGAACACACAGATGTAAAGATGCAGTCAATTCGAGTGAGAATTTGACGACTCTGAGTGCGAAATATTACTGGAGCAGAAATGGGGATGGAACGAGCGTTCTTGGTCATTCTCAGATGCACGTCTTGTTCGTAGGCGGGGTGAGTACTCGTCTAGTTGTGCTTGCGGGGGTTGAGCTCTGGCTCTTTGGTCCCGCTTCTCAACCGTCAATCAAGTGCTGTAAAGATTCCTGAGCCTACTGGGCTCTGTCATATCTACATTTGAAACTGTGTATGGAGTCAGCTTCCACCACGTGTGTGTGTGTGTGTGTGTGTGTGTGTGTGTGTGTGTGTGTGTGTGTGTGTGTGTGAGGTCACCAAGAACGCTGGTTCAAGTTCTCGTAGTCCTGTTACAGTGATCATCGATATTTCACATTCTTGTGATTTTTACTTGTGTACTGTATCCCATGCCTTTGTGATGAATGTTCAAATTTTCTTTTGAATGGCAATTTGCAGGGAGTTTAAGCATCCATACTGTTCCCTGTAGGACATACTGTACCTGGGACATACACTGTTACCCATGAAGAAAAGTGCTACAGCAACACTCTAAATTAAGGAATAAGTTCCTTGAAAGATTTCGTACCTTTAGATACTTCAAGACTGATTTCTAAAATTTGTTGAAGCCATTCTCTACCTTAATGAAGTGACAAAATCCTTTTCTAGAAATAAATGAGTAATAGTTTGGTTCTGTGTTGAAGACAAAAAGCATTCCTGTTGATATTGACAGATTGTATCAACATTTAAGACCAAACTTTCACAGCATCTGAGGCTATGTTGACCAAACCACACAATAGAAAGTGAAGGGACGACGACGTTTCGGTCCGTCCTGGACCATTCTCAAGTCGATTGTGAGAATCGACTCACAAACGTCGTCGTCCCTTCACTTTCTAGTGTATGGTTTGGTCAACATGTTTCTGCCACGTTATTGTGACTCCTCGTCTGCATGGAAGGGTAAACACCACACAGGTTGTGTACATGTTTGGAAACACTTCTATAAATCAATAGCTCTTTTTGTTATTTATTTTTTGCTGTAATGGACATTAACATGTCTTCGTTCACAAGTTAATGATATGTAGGTCGATATACAAGGTTGAGGCAGCTTAAGTCTCTCTCTTGTGTGGCAGATCAAGAGATACCAAGTGTCAGGAAGCAAAAATATGGGGAAATATAGTCATGATTATTATGTTAATCTGATAATACTAATTCGACGGCTTTACTTTTTTGCGCTGGGAAGGAACAGGTCTTCTTGGTCATAGTTTACAGCATGTGGAATCATGTGAAGTCTGGCTCGCCATCATGCAGGTCGGCGTTCAATCCCCGACCGTCCACAAGTGGTTGGGCACCACTCCTTCCCCCCCCCCCTGTCCCATCACAAATCCTTCTCCTAACCTCCAAGTGCTATATAGGTGTACTGGCTTGGCCCTTACTCCTGATAGTTACCTCCACTCCCTCGCCATATTAAATCAAGTTTAATATTCCCACGCTAACTGCTGACCTTCCTCAAGGTCCACAACAGTTGGCTACCTCCCGGGTACCTATTTTACTGGTTGGTGAAGAGAGGCATTAGGTGAAAGGAAATGTTGTCAAACCATTTCCGTGCCGCTCGGGAATCGAGCCCGGGATTCTCGATTGCGAGTCGAAAACGTAGACACACACTGTACTATAGGGCTATAGTACTATAGTAGTGTGTATAGTACTGTACTATAGGGCTTATTAAGGAGCGTATAGGTTATCAGAAAAAATAAACGAGACGGGATCCAAGTTGCTTTCAGGCCTTCCCATCCGATGAGAGACTCACCTGAGCATTCTAGACAAGTACCCCCTGAGGGCCGCGCGTCATGGCGGGGAATCACAAGGAAGCCGCCCAGAATACGAAATGTGTTCCCGCGAACAGCGCTGTGGAGGCGGCCGTGGGGGATACCCCCACAGGCAACTTGCTCAAACCCGGGATAAACTGGTAATCAGGTTTAACCGGTAATCCGAGGGTTCGATTCGCCACTGTCACCTTCAAGTTCAAGTACGATTATTGGGACAATCAAATACATCTCAAAGGGATAGGGTGGCTTAGGCTATTTCTACCCCTCCTCCTTCCAATGTATAAACTTCCAATTTAGAAACAGTCTTGTTTTTTTAATTACAGCCCCTCAAGTATATTAACGAAATGTTTAAGTCAAATAAATGTATTATTTATATGACTGTAAATGCACTAAGGGAGAAAGAACAAAGCCAGTGTGATTATATGGCACTTGGAAGGGATATGAGTACAGTACAGGAGTTAGGATATGAGGAAGGAGGGAAGGAACGGTGCCCATAACCACTTGGAGCATCGGGGGATCGAACCCTGATTCTGTAGGAAGCGAGGCCGCTCCTCTTATAGACCGGTTCTAGAGGCGTTTATTATAGCTTGACATGCTGTGGTGTGACGTTGTGGTGTGACGTTGTGGTGTGACGTTGAGTCCGCACAGGAAGACGAGCCCCAGACCTCACACTCGTACAAAGAGAACTGGCTGAAAGACTATCTGTGGACACCCAGTGACCCCAGACGATACATGCATCAACACCGTGACCCCAGACGATACACGTATCAACACCGTGACCCCAGACGATACACGTATCAACACCGTGACCCCAGACGACACACGTATCAACACCGTGACCCCAGACGATACATGCAT